TTATAAAAAAATAATATTTTTTCATTATATTATTATATTTATTTTTTAGATATGATAATATTATAATAACAATAGATTTTTTAGATATGATAATATTATAATAAATAGAATATAATTATCTATATCAAACAAGACCAAGTAATTACACAAATACTATTTATTATTATTATGAAAATCCGATGAGAGCGGCCAGTTTAACCAGAAATCGTACGATGGTGCAGTCCAAGTTAAGTATTCAAAACAGGAGGCAAAAAAACCACTGAGAACCGGTGGAAATTGGGTAAGAATGCGAGCCGGTTTGAATAATTACAACTGTTCAACTCAAACCAGCAAATAAAAATAAAAAGGAAAAAAAATAGAAGAGAAAAGCTCTGAGCATTCGGCTTGATCCGGAAGCCATTGTGGCCGGACCACCTTTGCTTGAAGCGAATGGTCGAGCTGCTAAGCCTGGTGTCGGCAGTGAGGTGGACATTCCGGTGGTCGGACTCCAAGAGACGATTGAAAATCTCTCTCCTGCATATTCTTTTTCTGTAAAATAAAAAGCCAAGTCTTTTGCCTTCCAAGTTCCAACCCATGTTTCCATGCTTTGTCAACATTTTTCTAATAGTCACGTGGCTTCTAGAGTTCCACCATATTATTTTTTTTGTTTTGCCTTCCAACCCATGTTTCCATGCTTTGTCAACATTTTTCTAATAGTCACGTGGCTTCTAGAGTTCCACCATATTATTTTTTTTGTTTTGCCTTCCAACCCATGTTTCCATGCTTTGTCAACATTTTTCTAATAGTCACGTGGCTTCTATATCCCTGTACTTTACGGAAAAAAATCTTATGACATCCCAAACTTTGCGAGCAACATATTCTGCACCTCAAGTAACATTCTATCCTTCTCTATACTAACAACAATTTTTTTTTTTTTTTGTGTTTTTGACATTTATATGCAAGATATTCACTTAGTATGTGGTTAGTATAATGTTTGGAACAATAATACCTAACCTAATCTCTTGAACCATTTAATGCCAACAATTAATAAAGTTAGATTAACATACATATAATTCTGAACTATTTAAATACAAATTCTTTAGTTATTATATACACCCCTACTAAATTTATGGATTGATTATGTTGGTTGAAAAAATAAAAGTAATTTAACTTTGATTGTTTATTAATTTTCCTGTCGAAATATAAATTTTTCAGTAATTATATTTAAATATAAAACTTTTTATGCAATTGTGTTGTTACAAAATGCGACTAAAGTTTTTTATTTAAAAAAATAATATTTCATTATATATATTATTTATTTTTTAGATATGATAATATTATAAATATAAATAATATTTCATTATATATATTATTTATTTTTTAGATATGATAATATTATAATAAACAGAATATAATTATCTATATCAAACAAGACCAAGTAATTACACAAATACTATTTATTATTATTATTATGAAAATCGGATGAGAGCGGCCATTTTAACCAGAAATCGTAGTCTTGTCCAAGTTAAGTATTCAAAACAAGGTTTGAGCATGCGGGTTGGTCCGAAAGCCGATGGCGGCCGGACCACCTTTGCTTGAAGCAGATGGTCGAGCTGCTAAGCCTGGTGTGGGCAGTGAGGTGGAATTCCGGTGGTCGAGCTCCTAGAGACGATTGAAGATCTCTGTCCTGGATATTCTTTTTCTATAAAATAAAAAGCCAAGTCTTCTACCTTCCATCCTATGCTTCCATGCTTAAGAAACATTTTTCTAATTGTCACGTGTCTTCTAGAGTTCCACCATATTGTTTTTGTTTTTTTGTTATATTACTAGTTTACTTTTTGGTAAAATGCATAAATATATCCCTGTACTTTATGAAAAAAATCTTGTAGCATCCCAAACTCTGCGAGTGACATATTCTACACCTCAAGTAACATTTTATCCTTCTCTATACTAACAGCAATATTTTTTTATATTTTTTATATTTATATGCAAGATTTTCACCTAGTATGTGGTTAGTATAATGTTTGGAACAATAATACGTATCCTAACCTTGAACCATTTGACAATAGGAGTTTTAATGCCAACAATCAATAAAGTTAGATTAACATAAATATAACTCTGAATTATTTAAATACAAATTCCTTAATCATTATATACGCTGCTACTAAATTTATGGATTGATTATGTTGGTTGAAAAAATAAAAGTAATTTAACTTTGATTGGTTATTAATTTTCCTATTGAAATATAAAATGTTCAGTTATTATATTTAAATATAAAACTTTATACGCAATTAGTTTTTTATTTTAAAAAATAATATTTCATTATATATATTATTTATGTTTTAGATATGATAATATTATAATAAAACAAATATAATTATTTATATCAAACAAGACCAAGTAATTACACAAATACTATTTATTATTATTATGAAAATCAGATGAGAGCGGCCAGTTTAACCAGAAATCATACTATGGTCCAATCCAAGTTAGGTATTCAAAACAGGAGGCAAAAAAACACTGAAAACCGGTGGAAATTGGGTAAGAATGCAAACCGGTTTGGATAATTACAGCTGTTCAACTCAAACTGGCAAATAAAAAGAAAAAGGAAGAAAATGGAAGAGAGAAGCTTTGAGTATGCGGGTTGCTCCGGAAGCCAATGGTGACTCGACCACCTTTACTTGAAGCCGATGGTCGAGCTGTTAAGCCTGTGTCGGCAGTGAGGTGGACATTCCGGTGGTCGGACTCCAAGAGATGATTGAAAATCTCTCTCCTGGAAATTCTTTTTCGGTAAAATAAAAATCCAAGTCTTTTGCCTTCCATCCCATGTTTCCAATATTGAGAAACATTTTTCTAATAGTCACATGGCTTCTAGAGTTCCACCATATTATTTTTTTGTTATATTATTAATTTACTGTTTGGTCAAATGCATAAATATATCATTGTACTTTATGGAAAAAATCTTGTGGCATCCAAAACCTTGCGAGTGGCCTATTCTTCACCTCATGTAACATTCTATCCTTCTCTATACTAACAACAATATTTTTTTGTGTTTTTGACATTTATATCTAAGACATTCACTTAATATGTAGTTAGTATAATGTTTGGAACAATCATACTTAACCTAATCTTGAACCATTTGAGAATAGGAATTTTAATGCCAACAATTAATAAAGTTAGATTAACATAAATATAATTCTGAACCATTTAAATACAAATCCTTTAGTTATTATATATGCCCCTACTAAATGGATTGATTATGTTGGTTGAAAAAATAAAAGTAATTTGACTTTGATTGGTTATTAATTTTCCTATTGAAATATAAATTGTTCAGTTATTATATTTAAATATAAAACTTTATATGCAATTGTATTATTTCAAAATGCAACTAAAGTTTTTTATTTTAAAAAATAATATTTGATTATATATATTATTTATTTTTTAGATATGATAATATTATAATAAAAAGAATATAATTATTTATATCAAACAAGACCAATTAATTACACAAATACTATTTATTATTATTATTATTAATTTCCTATTGAAATATAAAATTGTTCATTATTATATTTAAATATAAACTTTATATGGCAATTGTAGTTATTTCAAAATGCAACTAAAGTTTTTTTATTTTATAAAATAATATTTTGATTATATATTATTATTTATGTTTTAGATATGTTTTTTAGATATGATAATATTATAATAAAAAGAATATAATTATTTATATCAAACAAGACCAATTAATTACACAAATACTATTTATTATTATTATGAAAATCGGATGAGAGCAGCCAGTTTAACCTGAAATCATACGGTGGTCCAGTCCAAGTTAGGTATTCAAAACAGGAGGCAAAAAAACACTGAAAACCCGTGGAAATTGGGTAAGAATGCGAACCGGTTTTAATAATTATTACTGTTCAACTCAAACTGGCAAATAAAAAGAAAAAGGAAAAAAAAATGAAACAGAGAAGCTTTGAGCATGTGGGTTGCTCCGGAAGCCGATGGTTGCCGGACCACCTTTGCTTGAAGCGGATGGTCGAGCTGCTAAGCCTGGTGTCGGCAGTGAGGTGGACATTCCGGTGGTCGGACTCCAAGAGACGATTGAAAATCTCTTTCATGGATATTCTTTTTCTGTAAAATAAAAAGCCAAGTCTTTTGCCTTCCATCCCATGTTTCCATGCTTGCGAAACATTTTTCTAATATTCAGGTGGCTTCTAGAGTTCCACCATATTATTTTTTTGTTATACTATTAGTATATTTTTTGGTCAAATGCATAAATATATTCCAGTACTTTACGAAAAAAATCTTGTGGCATCCCAAACATTGCGAATGGCTTATTCTGCACCTTAAGTAACATTCTATCCTTCTCTATACTAAAAGCAATATTTTTTTTTTTTTTTTTTTTTTTTTGTGTTTTTGACATTTTTTTTTTTTTTTTTTTGTGTTTTTTGACATTCATATGTTTTTTTTTTTCCTAAACCGAAATATATATAGAAACATATCAAATGGAAGAAGTCTAGATTTTGGTAAATTCGATTTATTTTTTACAATCAAACCGAAATCCCAAACAATCAAACAAAAAAATGAACTAAACTAGTCCAGCTCCTTTTTTCGGTTTCAATCAATTTCTGCCCATCCCAAATTTTAGATTTGCAATTAAGGAAGGTTTGCATTGAAGAAAAGATAATTGAGAACAATTTTTATTTCAATATTTACTTTTCAGCAATTAGAAATACTTATATTTGTTTTGTACAATTAAGATCCTAATTTATAGCTTAAATTAAACGCAAATGTTTAAAATGTGACAAACTTTGACAGCAGATTTCTTCACAATCTGTCGAACTTTGACAGCAGATTTCTAAAGGCAAATATTTACAATTTGTCAAAGTTTGATAGCAGATTTCTTCACAATCTGTTAAACTTTGACAGCAGATTTATTTTTCCTCAAATTGCTCATGCCAACATGCATTTGTCTATAAATAGTATGGTCTTCATTTAGGATGGAGCATAGATAAGCAGCCATTCTTAGGCACAGCAGCGTTCACTTTTCCTCGATAGTAAAATATGGCTATGCCTTCCCTGCCAATGGCCGTCCCTACCCAAACACCTTCACCAAAAACTGATGAGCCAAAAATTATCCGTCCAGCGGTAAACTTTTCCCCATCTCTGTGGGGCTGTAGTTTTGACTCATTTTCTTTGCTAGATTCGGTAAGTTTCAATTATTTATTTATTTTATGAAAATAAAATACATATTGAAAATATAACATTTAATTAAATATTTAACCAGTGAAATAATTTTTTAAAGGTTTCCTTTCTAAACTTTTTTTTAAAAATAAATTTCCAAAAGTTAATAATATATAGATGAATTAAAATATATTTATTCACCTGTATTGGAACATATACTATCTTAACAAACCCAAGAAAAGAATGGATAATTCCATTCGCGAAGGAAGTACTTTTATTTCCATATGTTGTCCCCGTATTTTTTTTTTATAAGGTTTGTTCAATTACTCATCTGTATGTAATAGACTTTTTTTCTTAAAAAAAGAAAATTTAAATAGATGTGTTTGGTTTGCATAATATTGTACAGAAATTTGAAGAGTACACAAAAGAAGTGGAATTACTTAAAGAAAAGGTGAAGGATATGTTAATGCAATCTACAAAAGACTTAGCAGAGTATATTGAACTCATCAATTTGCTATGCTACCTTGGTTTGTCTTATCACTTCGAGACCGAGATTGAAAAGCAATTACTTCATATTTTCAATTCTCTTCCTAATCTTTTTGATGACAATGACTATGTTTTCAATTCTCTTCCTAATCTTTTTGATGACAATGACTATGACCTTCACACTTTGGCCATTTTATTTCGTGTTCTGAGGCAACATGGACATAAAATGTCCTGTGGTAAGAGTCTTCGTTCTTGGAAATTTATTGGATCTTTAGAGATTCTATTTTCCTTGTTTCGTATAGATAGAAAAATATTAATTTTGAATATTTATATATTATGAACTAGATTATATTATGAACTAGATGTGTTTAACAAGTTCAAAGACAACAATGGAGAGTTCAAGAAAACCATCACCAACGATTTAAAAGGTCTCCTTAGCTTATATGAAGCTAGTTTCTTGAGCGTGCGGGGAGAAGATGTTTTAGACGAAGCCTTTGCTTTTGCTAAGCAACACATGGAAATCTTAGCTGCTCAATCAAGCCCAAATCTTGCAAAACATATAAGGAATATTCTAACATGGCCCTTCCAGAGAAGCAATGAAAGATTCAGGACTTATCTATTTATATCCTTTTATGAAGAATCCTTTTACGATTCTCCAACTGAAGCTCTTCTCAGATTTGCAAAGTTGGACTATAATAGACTACAATTGTTGTATAGACAAGAGCTGGCCTTGCTGTCGAGGTAATTAAGATTGACATTGTTATTACAGGAAATTAAAACCTGTGATTAGTTTCCAATGGAGTTGCTATTTATATATGTGATCAGGTGGTGGAAAGACTTAAATCTGATGGAAACGCTTCATTATACAAGAGACAGAATAGTGGAAGCCTATGTATGGGCAATGGGATCCATTTTTGAGCCTCAATATGCTCTTGCTCGACATCTAATTACTAAACATGTACAATTGGAAGCAGTTGTAGATGATACATATGATGCATATGGTACACTTGATGAACTTCAATCTTTTACAGCTGCACTTGAAAGGTTTGGAGTTTGTTGTCTATTATTTTATGTTAAAATTATCTCTATATATTGTCTAGATGATACATATGATGCATATGGTACACTTGATGAACTTCAATCTTTTACAGCTGCACTTGAAAGGTTTGGAGTTTGTTGTCTATTATTTTATGTTAAAATTATCTCTATATATTGTCTAAATGGCATATAAAGAGAAAGGTGAATTAACTAAATTTTGTATTAAAGATAAACCCAACTGATTATTATAAACTCAAATTATAAAAATTTTTTATTTGAATTTAATGAATTGCTCTTAAGGTGTAGATTTTTTAATATGGTATTAGAGCTAGATACTTGAACACGTATTGCATGAGGGAGTGGGTCTTACCTTAATAGACCTATACTGGGTCATCTCTTATGCTTGTCAAGTGGCCTAATTGCCACTCGAGAAGGAATGCAGAAGTATATGAGGTTAATCTAAATTGCATATAATGAGGAAGGTAACTAATCAAAATGACTTGGCCATTTTGCGTTAGAACAAGTCTAACTCTTTATAATCCCTAATTAAATGAAAGTTCTTGATTCGAGATTTGCAGTATTAATTTATATAACTTATTATTCAGGTTTAGTATGGATGCTACTGATGAGCTACCGGAATACATGAAAGTTCTTTATAAGGCTATCTTCAATCACTTTAAAGAAACAGAGAATAATGGCAATGAAGGAAGCTCTTACAAAACCTCTTTTGCTAGGGAGATGGTGAGATCTGTAATTTACCTTAGGCTTTCTATCTTTTTTTAATGCTCTAATCTCATCTCTCATTAATATGTTTGTTAATTTTTTGGTGTATAATTAGTTGAAGGAACTGACAAGAGGTTACCTAACCGAGGCATGACAAGAGACGCTTACCTCAACCGAGGCAAAAAATGGTTCTCTTGAATGGTTGTATCCCCAACATTTTGATGAGTACTTGAACACTGGTATTGATAATAAGCACTGTTGACTATATACAATATAAGCTCAGCCATCTTTTCTTGGGATTCAAGGATGCCAGGGAGAAAGGAAAATTCGTACACACTAGCTGGCTGCGGAGGACAATTCCAAAAATTGCTTTCAAGCTCCCAAGAATATTTAGGTTTGGTCTAAAAGAATGATTCTTTGGAGGACCAATCGAGGTATGCCATATTATCGTACCAATATCATCTATAAGCTTTCTCTCTCACTAAACATCTATGCGTCCGATTATTAATACTCAGTTATGTCCCCACAATATAGTCTTTCTCGTTAACGTTGCCCAATTTATTTTAATCCCATAATAAATAATGTTTTTCCAATTGTTACTCTTATTTACGCATTAGATCAATAAATTACCTTTTACAAGTAACTCTTGGTTTTAGAAGATGATGGATAATTTGGTCAATATTACATTTTCTGTTCATAAATTTAGGAAATTAAAATTTGCATTTCTTACTTCTTGTGCAAAAATTCTTAAAACCTAATATTTTGGAATATGAGTATTATTATACCCCCTAAGGTGTTTGGACCCCGAATGTATAATCACATTTGAACCTTCCTAGTAATATTCTAACCATATCGGCATCCTTTAACGTTTGTCAAATTACCCAAACTGTACACTTTATTATAAAATTACATATATTGACATACATTTTCACATTCGCATAGTAACTAATTTTCATTAACAAAAAATTTTTTAGCTTTTGCATGCAAAATATTTTTATGTGTAGTTAGCTATAATTATTGCAACAATAAGTTTCACATTTTTTAACTATTTTAATATAATTTAATTGATATAATTTCTGCAAGTTGAATTATTCAACAAAATAAATTTTTGTAACTTGAAGTATTTAATATTGGGTGTAATTTTATTAATTGAAGTTTGAGGTGGATTAAAGTAAACAATTGAGTGTGTTAAAACGGATTAAAAATAATAAAGTTTAGAGGTGACATTTAATCTACTCATTGGCTATAAATTTTTTACTCAACGGTATCAAGACTTTGGGGCAATTACTCTTATACCTTGACATTAGCTTTTTGGGGGTGAATTAGGACCCAATCCTTTTTATAACAATTGACAATTAAAAATCTGAAATATTGTACACAACATTAATGTATCTATAACATAAGGATATTTAGACCTTAAAATTTAAATAATAACTACAAATATAAATTTTTTTTGGTAATTTTTTTCGATTTTTCTTTCAGTATATAATAATATCTCGATATTAGACCCTTAATTAAATAATTAACTACAATATAATTTTTTTGGTAATTTTTTCGATTTTTCTTTCAGTATATAATAATATCTCCTTTTAAAATCCTCGCATAACCATTACGTAATGTATAATAAAATATTTTATGTCTTACAGGAAGAGCAAGAAAGAGGAGATTGTCCTTCAGTCGTAGAGTGTTATATGAATGAATATGGTACCACCAAAGAAGAGGCGGTTAAACATATTGAAAAACTGTGTATAAATGCATGGAAGGACATAAACGAGGAAATGTTGAAGCCAAGTCGTGTCTCAAAGATTGTGCTCAAATATTTTCTCAATTTTGCACGCATGTCAGAATTTCTATACAAATTCAAGACTGATCCCTTTACTAACCCTTCACTTTTAAAAGATCATGTCTTAGCATTGCTCATTGACCCACTGCCAGTCTAATTGCAGAAACTAATGAGATGCCTCTTTTTTCAAGTTTCAATAAATATTAGTTTGGTGTTGAAAGTTTGTCTCTAAAAGTTCAATAAATGTTGTTTGATGGTTGGAATAAATTTGAAGTGCGTGTTTTATGCTTACGCAAGCCACTGTAATAAATACAGATTCAATGTATTAGAATACTTTGAACTTCATAATTTCTCAATTTCATTCTAATTTGATATTTCTATCAATTTTATTCTGATTTCAACTTTTTATAGCAACAACATTTTCAATTGCAATTATTAATGATGCAATTGCAAATAAAAAATATTTCTACTATTTTTTTAAAAAATTAATAATAAAAATAAAAGTTTAGATATCCTTTTAAATATAAAATTATATTCACATTTAATAGACACATTTTTTAGATTTAGAAATATGATACTTTCTTCCTCCCAAAACAATTGACCTATTGACTTTTATACAAAGTTTAAGAAACAAAATAATTATAGTGCCACATCATACAAAATATCCTTTGTTGGCTCAATGTTCAATTTACCCTAGGATTTTAATGATTAAACAAACCAAATACATTTAATATGTTTGTATATGCTAAAGTTATTTTATGCAGAATTTTAATGTTGAAGTTATTGAAGAAATCAAGCTCCTAAAATTCCTATTTTTAATAGACCATGAAGATTATTAAGATCTTTTAGTCGCTAGTACTTTATTAAGTCTTAGGAAATATTGTAGGATAGAGAGAAAATTCCTTTACAAGCACAAAATATCTTTATCTCTCTTAAAATTATTTCGAAATATTCTCAATAAATGCTTGAAAAGAAAGGCCCAAATCATTGCTCTTTAATCTATGCCTACGTAAATAGAAAGATTTTAGGAAAAATATTTTTGGTAATCATTGAATGAGTTTCCACAAGAGTTACTCGTGCATTGACTTTTGATTTTAAAATATCAGAAATAGGTATTGCTTATTAAAACTAAACTTCAAAGTCTTATATAACTGAATTTTCATTCCTCTTATAAAAACGTTTTTCTTCCTTCAAAAATTGAATGGGTAAGAGTAAGAGTCCATTGTTCAGAGTTTCAGATCTCTCAAAGCTCAGCAACCCCCTTTAATTCTTTTCATCTATTTGCTTCAAGACATATTTTTCAAGAGAAAAGAAATCTGGTAACGACTCTTTCTGAAGAACAGTTCTGAACTTTTTGTCTATTTTAAAATTTTATTTTCTGTTCCTCCTATGCTTATAATTGCATTTCTCTCTGTCTACATAGATTTTTGTAATCTATTATAGGCTAGAGCATTTCTCTCTGTCTACATAGATTTTTGTAATCTATTATAGGCTAGAGGCTTTTAAACGAAAAACATTTGTATAATAGCTTAGGTGAAAAGCTATAGTGTAAAAGGTAATTAAGCGACCTTCTCCTTGTTTGAGATTCTAATGTCTTGATCTGAGTTTTCTATTCTCTGCAAAATAGAAAGGATAGAGGTTGACTAGAATCTTCAAAAATCTAGTGGGACAAAGGGCAATCTAGGTTTTGATCTATTTCCTTGTAAAGTTGCCTTGAAAGGAGATAACATAGTGGAGGATCTGAAGATGAGAAATGGGGAGTGGATGTAGGCGAGTTAGTGTTGAACCACTATAAATCTCTGTGTTTATCTTCTTTTATTTTCTAAAGTGTTGCTTGATTATATTCTGTTTACACGTTTAATCCATTTCAGGAAATGCAAGTTGGTTAATGGAGTTCATTTCAGAAATGCAAAGTTGTTAATGAGTTTCTGTTTCTAAATGTGAATAAGTTTTATCTCTGTGGAACATTAGAACTCTGGATTTTTGTACTATGATTTTACCAAGTTCTAATCTGTCCTTTTTATATTCAGTAAAAATCACAATCTGAGTTATAATCAATCTTCTGATCTTGCATAAGCTTTGTGAAGTAGTTCTAAATATAATAACTGTTCTTCACGTTCTTTCTAATCTTGCAACAGTTTTGTGAAAAAGTTCTAAACTTGATAACTGACTGTCACAAACACTTTTTAATTTCATTGCGACAGAATTCTGATCTTGAGTTTTGAAAGTCAAATTTTTTAGAAAATCCAACACTATAAAAAAATCGCCAAATTGCGACCGACTGAAATCGGTCGCAATTTTGTAACCGATTTGCGACCTATTTACAAACAGTTGCAAATTGTAGCGCTAAAAATTCCCGCGAGTTTGTTTTTCAGTTTGCGACTAGTATACGACGGATTTGCGACCGATCTGCGAGTACGTGTTAGTGTTATTCAGTCGCAAATTGCGCGCTTTCAAATTAAGGAATAAGTCTTGCGACCTATTTGCCGACCTATTTGCGACCGATTTGCGACCGATCATGTGCGACCGATGACTATGGTCGCAAATCGGTCGCAATTTTATTGCGAAGTAAAACGACGTCACAGAGTTAAAAATTGCGACCTATTTTAATGAAATTGTCGGTCGCAAATTTTAGGGCTTTAAACGCCAGACGCCCTCCTTCTTCTTTCTTCTTCTTTCTTTCTTTTCCTTCTCGTCTCCTCTCCTCCGTTCGCAGCGCCACTCCAGCCCCTCCTAACGCCGCTCCAGCCCGCCTGACGCCGCCACGTCTGCTCCATTGCAGGTCCGGTCACTCCTCAACGCCGTTTGCGCTATTTGGACGTTAGTTGAGGTAAGTTTTGTGATTTTTTTTTTTCGATTTTTTTTTTTTTTCGATTTTTTTTTTTTTTTTTTTTTTGCGAAATTTATGGGTTTTTTGCGTTCTTGGTATATTTGATAGGTTATTTGAAATTAGGTCGTTTCTATTTATTATTATTATTATTTATTATTATTATTATATTATATTATTATTATTAAAAATTGTACTGTTATTATTATTATTATTATTATTGTTGTTGTTTTGTTGTTGTTGTTGTTGTTGTTGTTGTTGTTGTTGTTGTGTTTGTTATTATTATTTAAATTATTATTATTATTATTATTATATTTATTATTATTATTATTATTATTATTATTATTATTATTATTATTTATTATTATTGTTATTGTTTATGTTTATTTGTTCACGACCCGTTTCCATGGGCCGGACCTGCGCACTAGGGCCCAGGTAAGCTTAAGGCCCCCGGGGCCCGTTAGTAAGCCTGAATCACTAATAACTTTTATCTCAATATCATATTTAAAACTATTACAGCCTATAATAGCCTATAATTATAGAAAAATAAACCTTAAGATTCTATTAAATTTCGGCCCAAATTTATCAATTACAACATTTCCACAGTTCGGGCCCAATTAACAATACATTATATTTTTAATATAGGCTCACATAATTACATCGTCTATGTTAATACACGACTAATTGCACACAAATTCTACAACTGCGGAATTCACTAACAGATGTATACAGATAAGTCTTTAGACATTTATCTACTTAATATATCAACATTAAAATTAAAGAATCTCTTTTTAACAGTGAAGGAGTAGAGTTATAGCTGGGATTTAGAAAATGCTACTTCCTGGAAGATTTAAACAAGAGATGTGAGTTTATTAATGAATAATAATTATTGCACAATACAACACGCATTTCACACAAATTATAATATATCAATCTAGTCATCGAACCTAGTTATTATGCTCACAACAGCTAGTACACAAATGGCATTATTCAACCAGCACTACACACATTATTAAACATCTTCATATAATCACATCACGTTCCACGAGTGGAAATTAGTCATTAGAGTCACCGAACCCCCGATGAAGCCGTCCTCCCACATGGCCCATCCTCTCACGGTGTGCCCAGGGAAAGCCGATCCCCCATACTGGCCGACCGGGTCTAATCCTCACTTGACCAGCCCTCTCATTTTGTTTTTCCATTCTCTACTCTTTCTTTATACCAACAGGAGGCAACCCCGGTGGTTTCTCCATCCAATCTTAGATCATCAAGCGCTCACAACGGGAGGCACCCTGCGGGCTGCAATCAAATCTAGGATGGTCCGGTTGCGCAACGACGAGAAGCCAACCCGTGGTAACAGGTAACGGTAACGGGTTAGGTGCACACGGGGGCGCCGATCTCCCATTTACCCCGGCTAACGGATAAATGGATCCAATAACAGTAACGGTTATTATAACGGTAAACGGTAATCAGGATCCATATAACGTAACGTCTATAAACCCATGGTGATCCCCACACTTCATCCCAATTCCACACACACAAAGCCATTAGGCATTATCACAACACAATTAAATCAAACATTTGCAATAAATGCAAGCGTTCATTAATCAATTAAACAATGTAATGCAATGGTCCCACAATTAGGCATCCCAAAATCAAATGCAAATTAAATAAGTAAAATAGTGTTAACTAACAATAAACAACAACTAATAAAATAAATAATTAATAATAATAAAACAATAATAATGAAAATTAAATAAATAAATAATGGTATACTTAAAATGAATAATAATATAATTAACTAAATAATTTGAGTACTTTATTTTTATTATGGATCAAATTATAGAATTTTATCTAAATAAATTATTTAATTTATATGTTATTAAAACTAGTCTAAGTTCTATCGAAATTTCGTGCAGCACCTCCCCTAAAAATTGGACTTATTCCACCTGTTTAAATATCAGAATATTTATTATCATCAACCATGCATACACAAAGGATTAATTATATTATTAATTAAGACTAGCCTAGGTTCTATCAAAATTTCGACAGAACCTCCCCTAAAATTTGACTAAACCACAATTCAACAATATGATATCAAAGCCCATCCGCCATAACCATATTCAACAATCATTCATTCACTCAATTCACACAGCCCATCCATCGGGCAATCAATCCAGCCAACTCATCCGCTTCAGGCTACATATATGATCCATCACACTCACATATATACACTTAATAATTCCAAATCAATTAATTAACAATTTATATTAACCTCCAAGCATGTTCCAATGTATTAGCAATCATTGTGATTGCTATAATATATCATT